AAATTCTAATGATTTTTTTTTTTTTAAGACAGGGTCTTACTCTGTTGCCCTGGCTGGAGTGTAGTAGTGCAATCTTGGCCTACTGAAACCTCAGCCTCCTGGGCTCAAGCACCCCTCCTACCTCAGCCTCCCAAGTATCTGGTACTATAGGTGCATGCCACCATACCCAGTTCATTTTTGTATTTTTTTTGTGGAGGCAGGGTTCTGCCATGTTGCCCAGGCTGGTTGCAAACTCCTGGGCTCAAGCAATGGGCCCGCCTTGGCTTACCAAATGCTGGGATTATGAGTGTAAGCCACTGTACCCAGCCCCAAATTATTATTTTTAAATGAGAGTAAATGCCTTGTAAGACAATGTAGAGATAGTAAAGAAATTGCTTGTGAAGTCAAATATTTGGACTGTGATTAGATCTCTTGGTATCATGAGGCTTATAACAAAACAGTGGTGCCCTGCCTGCTTTGCACCTCTAAGTTCTATACTCCCAGTGCTCTTCAGTGTCCGTACTTAGCTATTTCTTTTGCAAGAGAAGGATCCAGGAAACAGGAGAGTCAGTATGTCTAAATAACATGCTTGTAAAGCTGTTTCTTTTCAATTTTAGATAGTAGTTTCTTCGTCCTGAAGAAGAATAGGATTTAATTCACAACACTTGATTCCTTCTTACTCATCTCTGCTATTCTCCAGTGTACTTATATCACAGTTTTGGCTGTTGCTAAGTATTGACACTACCATGTTATAATTATTTACAGCAGGGTCATGTATTATACAATTATATTTGTTTTGTATAGTTTTGGTTTTTGTAGTGTTAATAACAGTCTTCCTCTATTTTTTAAATTGAAGGATAAATATACATACAGCCTGTATAGCCTGTTGACTTTCATTAGCATAATAGTGCATCCTTTTACTTGTTTTACTGTTTTAAAGTTTGTATTCATGGGATACAAGTGAAATTTTGCCACATTGGTGTATTGCATGTTGGTGAAGTCAGAATGCTGCATCCTTTTAGAGTGTTTTGCTTTCTGTATACTTTTTTTTTTTTCTTGAGATGGAGTCTCATACTGTCGCCTGGGCTGGAGTGCAGTGGTGCAATCTCGGCTCACTGCAACTTCCACCTCCTGGGTTCAAGCGATTCTCCTCAGCCTCCCGAGTAGCTGGGATTACAGGCATGTGCTACCACACCCGGCTTATTTTTTGTATTTTAGTAGAGATGGGGTTTCACTATGTTGGCCAGGCTGGTCTTGAACTCCTGACCTCATGATCTGCCCACCTCAGCCTCCCAAAGTGCTGGGATTATAGGCATGAGCCACCATGCCCAGCCTGCTTTCTGTATACTTATAATTTGTTCCTAAATTCTAAAACTTTTTTTTTTTTTTTTTTTTTTTTTTTTTTAGAGAAATCCTTTGAAGCCCTTCATTCTTCTACTGCAGTTTAGTAGTTTAGTTACTAGATCTGCTGTATAGCAGCTGGTCATTTTGCAGATGTTCTCTGTGTACTTGTAAAGAACATGTAGAGAGCATTTACTAGATATAACGCTCAAGGTGTGTCTGTTTTGTTTGTGTTAAAATGCTCTGTATTCGCACTAATTTCTGTCGCATATATCAGTTTTTGAAAGAGATGTGTAAAATCTCCCATTATGTTTATGGATTTTCTTGTTTATCCTTTTAGCCTTGTCAGTTTTTGCTTTATATATGTTGAAGTTTTTATTATATATTTTCAAATTTAGGACTGTTACATTATCCAGATTGCCATTTTTATCCTTATAAAAGTACACATCTCTGGTAATAGATTTTTCTTTGAGACAGAATCTCACTCTGTCACCCAGGCTGGAGTGCAGTGGCGCGTTCTTGGCTCACTGCAACCTCCACCTCCTGGGTTCAAGCATTCTCCTGCCTCAGCCCCCCAAGTAACTGGGATTATAGGCCTGCACCACCACACCCAGCTAATTTTGTTTTTTTAGTAGAGACAGGGTTTCACCATGTTTTGAACTCATGGTCTTGAACTCTTGACCTAAGTGTTCTACCTGTGTTGGTCTCCCAGAGTGCTGGGATTAGAGGCATGAGCCACCATGCCTCGTCTGGTAGTGTTTTTTCTTTGCTCTTGCTGATTTTAATATAGTTATACCACCTTTTGGTATATGTTTACATTGTGTATTATTTCCCATTCTTTTACCTTCAGCTTTTCTGTTTCTCTGGTAGGCGGCATAACAAACTTTGTCTTTATTTTATTTTTATGTTCATTATTTAGTTTTAATAGCAGTTTTATTGAGATGTAATTCATCTATTGCACAAGTCATCCTTTTAAAGTACAAGCTGGTAAACCAAGGAGATAAAAGGGTAAAAAACAAAAGAAAAATGAAGTGTACACGTGAGTGGTTTTTACTATATGCCCAAAGTTATTCATTTGCCATCACAATCAATTTTAGAACATTTTATCACCCAAAAAAGAAACTTTGTATTTAGTAGCAGTTAATCCCCAATTCCCCCATCCTCACAGCCTTTGCCAACCAGTAATCTTGCTGTCTCTGGATATGCTTATTCTGGACATTTTAAATTAATAGAATCAAACAATATGTGGCCTTTTGAGACTGGCTTCTTTTTGTTTTTATTTTTATTTTTTAAGATGGAATCTTGCTTTGTTTTTGTTTTTCTTTCTGTTTTGAGACAAGGTCTGGTTTCATCGCCCGGGCCAGAGTGCAGTAGCACAATCTTGGCTCACTGTAACCTCCGCCTCTCGGGCTCAAGCCATTCTCCCACCTCAGCCTCCTGAGTAGCTGGGACTACAGGCATGTGTCACCACACCTGACTAATTTTTGTTTTTTTTTTTTTTTTTTGTAGAGTTGGGTTTTCGACATGTTGCTCAGGCTGGTCTTAAACTCGTGAGCTCAAGTGATCTGCCAACCTCGGCCTCCCAAAGTGTTGGGATTACAGGTTTGAGCCACTGTGCCCAGTCAGACACCACGTTTTTTGATTTAGCATAGTGGTCTCAAGATTTATCCATGTTGACCAGGCACAGTGGACATGTTGCAGTATCAGTACGTCATCATTTTTTCTTCCTGAATAATATTCCATTGGATGGATAGACTATTCATCAGTCGATGGACATTTGAGTTGTTTCCACTTTTTGGTTATAATGATTTTTTTTTTTTTTTTTTTTTGGTCTCACTCTGTCACCCAGGCTGGAGTGTAGTGGTGCAGTCATAGTTCACTACAGCCTCAGTCTCCCAAGCTCAAGTGATCTTCTCACCTCAGCCTTCTGAGTAGCTGAGACCAGAGGTAGGCAGAACCACCCTTGGCTAGTTTTTTTTTATTTTTAGTAGAGACGAGCTCTCGCTATGTTGCCCAGGCTGGTCTTGAACTCCTGAGCTCAAGCGTTCCTCCTGCCTTGGCCTCCCAAAGTGCTAGGCAAATGTTGGGGCAAAGAGTTCATAATACTCCTTTATAATCCTTTAAAGTCCATGGAGTCAGTAATAATAACTCCTCTTATATATTGCATATTAGTGATTTGTGTTTCTTTGTTTCTTGGTAAGCCTGTTTAGAATTATCAATTGTATTGATCTTTTTAAAGGACCAACTTTTGGTTTTGTTTTCTCTCTTAATTTTCTGTATTCAATTTCAGTGATTTCTGCTCTCATTTTTATTTTTTTCTTCTGTTTGCTGTTAGGCTTAAACTACTCACGTTTCTCTGGTTTACTAAGGTTGACAGACTGTTCATTATAGATATTTCTTCTTTTCTAATATATGCATTCAGTGATACAAACTTCCAGCTTATTACTGCTTTTGCTGCATCCCACAAATTTTGATAAGTTGTATTTTAATTTAGTTTAAAATATTTTATCTATAAGAGTTGATTTGTCATTTTTTTTCTGGCAGTTCTTTTAGGCAGTTTTTGCCTCGTATATTTTGACATGCTGTTGTTAGGTGCATACATGTTAAGGATTGTTATGTCTTCTTAGAGAATTGACCCTTTTGTCATTATGAAATGACCCACTTTATTCCTGATAAATTTCTTTTTTTATGAAGTCTGTTTTGTTTGAAATTAATGTAACTACTCCAGCTTTCTTTTTATGTGATTTATCTCTCTCCATCCGCTTACTTTTTTTTTTTTTTTTTTTTCCCAGACAGAGTCTTGCTCTGTCACCCAGGCTGGAGTGCAGTGGCACAATCTCAGCTTACTGCAACCACTGCTTCCCAGGTTCAAGTGATTCTCCTGCCTCAGCCTCCGGATTAGCTGGGACTACAGGCACCGGCCACCACGCCTGGCTAATTTTTTTTTTTTCTGTTTTTTGGAGAGATGGGGTTTCACTGTGTTAGCAAGGTTGGTCTCTATCTCCTGACCTGACTCATGATCCACCCACCTCAGCCTTCTAAAGTGCTGGGATTACAGGCATGAGCCACTGTGCCTGGCCTTTCCCCTTTTAGCATTTCTGTATGTATATTTAAATGAGTTTCTTATAGACAGCATATTGTTAGATCTTGGGTTTTTGGTCCATTCTCATAGTCTGTCCTTTGGTTTGTTTAGACTATTCATATGTATTTATAGCAATTATTGATATAGTTGGATTGATACATACCATGTTTGTTTTATTATACTTATTCTTCGTTTTTTCTTCCCTCTTTTCCTGCCTTCTGTGGGTTTAACTGTGCCCTTTATATGGTTCCATTATTTTTTGTCTCTTAGCATATCAATTCCTCTTCTTGTAAAAGTACTTTTAGCAGTTGCCCTAGAAAGTTATTCAGTTTATGTTTACAATGAGTCTGAGTCCACTGTCAGTTATACTGTGCTGTTTGTGAGTGGTACAAGAGTTTTTCCCCCTCCCTCCTATTACTTACAACATAGTAATAGGCTGTTGGGGAGGTTTTGAAGATTTCTAGAAAGTGGACTTTTATAGTAGTGCTTAGAGAGAAATTTGTAACTCTTCTGGGTGGGTTTGGAAGTCAGCTGCTCTCCTCTGCCATATCATCTATTACCAGTAATACAATAATATGTGTTCTCTTTTTTTTGACAGTTCACTGAGACTTTTTTGACAGAGAGGGACAAACAATCCAAGTGGAGTGGAATTCCTCAGCTGCTCCTTAAGCTGCATGCCACCAGCCACCTCCACAGTGACTTTGTTGAGTGTCAAAACATCCTCAAGGTAACTCTTAGGGACCTTGGAGGGGCTGTATTCAGGGCCTCCAGGTGACAAGCTGCCTGTTGTATTTTTTCTCCCTCCGTTGGCTTTTGAAAATAGCCTGTTTTTACGGTGTGAGCTATAGAAAATTTGAGAAATTCAGAAAAAGTATGAAGAAGAAAATAAACATCACCTATAATCCCATCATCCTGAGATAAACACTGTTAAGTTCCCTGAGCTATCCTTCTGGGCTTTATCTGTGTTTATTTTGTGACAGTGCTCGCTTAATTTGGGAGGTCAATACTATGTGTGTCCTGCTATTGGAATGACATTCTTTTTGAAAAGAGTTTAAAAGATCTCATATTGCTGAAGGCTTGTGGAAGGGGCCTGTGGTTGTTGAATATTATTACTAACAGAAGATTGAAGGGGCCAGGTTTGATGACTGGGAAATGAGTGGAAGGAGCTCAAAGACTTTATGCTAGGCTAATTGTTGTCAAACTGGAGTGTGTTTGTGAATCACCTGGAGGGCTTATTAAAACACAATTCTGGACCCCACCCCTAAATTCTGATTCAGTAGGGCTGGAGATACCTTATCTAAACTTCATCTGTAGTTTGGATCTAAATTTGAATTTAGAGCACCAGCTCTAATGCAGTTAAAACCCATGTAAGTTATATTGAACATAATGAAACTGAATACATAATGTTCTTCAGAGGTGAAGTTGGGATTATTAAATCACATAGTGTTATTTTAAAATGTAATAGAAACTAATTAACCTTAGTGTTTACCTTTAAGAAGAGACATTTCATATTTTGAATCTTCTCACAGTCTGATAGAAATAAAGCTTTTTACGCTTTTCAAAGGATTGCACATTATCTGATTCCTGCAAAATCTCTGCGATACGAGGTTTGTGTATCTTTGCTATGTGATCATCATTTCTTTATTCATTCAATAAATACTTACTTGGAACTTACTATGTTTTAGGTTTTCCTACAATACTTTTTTACTTTTAGCTTTTTTCCATATGAACAAAGTATTCTGGTGTCCTCAGAGTTTGAGAACTACTACCGTATGTGTACTGTATCAAATACTTACGGTGTCTTGGAATCTGTGGGAAATACAAAGTGGGATCTGTTTGTGTTGTCTTCAAGGAGCATTTAGTCTAGGGAAGAAATAACATAGATTTGTAAATAGGTGCAAAGCAAAAGTGCTAAATGTTACATATAAGTTGTAGGTTGTTTTAGGGGTCTGAAGAGCATGCTTCTGGTTGGGGGAAATCAGGAAGACTTCCTGCAGGAGATGACATTTGAGCAGTGACTTGGTCAGAACTAGTCACCCTGAAACCTAATAGCCTGAAGTAACAAGCATCATTTATCTCAACAATTCTTTGTTGATTGAATGGCTCTTCTGCTTCATGTGCTGTTAGGTAGGGTGGTACTGAGATACCTGGAATGTCCAAAATGGTCTCTCTCACATCCCTGGCAGGTTGGTGCTACCTGTCAGCTGGAGGTCAGCTAAGGATATTGGTCTTAGCCTCAGTTCTTCTCATGGCCTCCAAATTTGGCTGTTCTCACAGCATGATGTTTGGGTTCCAGGATGGCAGGAGCCATGTCTGCCAGGCTTTTTTTTTTTTTTTTTTTTTTTTTTTTAAAGATAGTCTCCCTTTTTTTCCCAGGCTGGAGTGCAGTGGCTCTATCTTGGCTCACTGCATCATCTGCCTCCTGGGCTCCAGTGATTCTCCTGCCTCACCCTCCCGAGTAGCTGGGATTACAGGTGTGTGCCACCATGCCCAGCTACTTTTTGTATTTTTAGTAGAGATGGGGTTTTGCCATATTGGCCAGGCTGGTCTTGAACTCCTGGCTTCAAGTGATACACCCGCCTCAGCCTGCCAAAGTGCTGGGATTACGGGGATGAGCCATGCACCTAGCCTACCAGGCTTTCTTAACGCTTATGCTGGAAGTGGCCTAGTGTTGCTTCTACCACATTCTGTTAGCTGAGGTGTGTCATACCAGCCCAGACAGTGTGAGAAAGGGCTTTACAGGGGCCTGAATACTAGGAAGTGTGGTTCATGGGGGGTTTTCTTTGTGTTCATGGGAATTCAAATTGGGACTAAAGCTCAAACCGATGTTTTAGTGTCTGGTCTGTGTTGGTTACTAAAACAGAATGTCTGTATGTACTTTTTTTTTGAAAACTAGGAAATTTCTCCTCTTCTCTCCATGGAGGCTATGGCATTTGTTACTGAAGAGAGGAAACTTACCCAAGAAACCACTTATCCAAATACTTATATTTTTGACTTGTTTGGAGGTGTTGATGTAAGTAGCTATTTTTTATTACTACTACTGTTACTACCGCTTAATGGTTTGAGAATTTAACTTTTGAAATAGGATATAGGAAAGATTTCAGAATTTATAACATTTCAGATTTTAACTTTTAGAAGCTTAGTGGCATTGATGTGTTGAAGCAGCATAGTTTTTACTTTCGAAGAATTCATTTATTTAAATTGGTATTTACCTTTTTAAAAAAATACAAAGTGAAAAGTCCATCTCTCAGTTTTCCAGTGTCCTCTTCTCAGAAACACTTGTGATTACTAGTTTCTTGTGTGTCCTGCTAAAGATGTTCTGTGGTGTATGTGGGTGTGTGTAAGTAAATATTCCCCACCACCTCCACCTTAGTTTATTTTCTCCCCACATAGACTGATACGCCATATACACGCTATACTCTCTTGTACCTTTTTTTTAATTAAACAAATTTTTAATGGCTAAATAGTGTTCCCTAGTGTGATTGTGCCATAATTTTTTTTACCCAGGCCCCAGTTGATGGGCATTTAGAATTTTCCACACCATTTCTCTTACAAGGTTGCGGTAAAGATCTTGTACATATTTTTGTATACATGTGTGTATATACCTTTGGAACAAGAACATATGTTTTTTATTGTTTGTAAATCTGAAGTTTACCTACCTAAGAAGTTTTATCAGTTTATATCCCCAGTAAAAAGTATGAATGTCGGTTTACCCATACCATCACCAGTATACTGTGTTTATGTGTATTTTTATGGGCTTTGTTGCTGAAGTATAACCTTCATGCAGAAAAGTACACCAATAATTACCACAAAATAAATTCACTTTTGCACTCCCACCCAAATTAGGATATAGAACATTGCCAGTACCCAGAACCCCCTTTCAGCAAACAGTATATTTTAGGTGTTTACTAAGCAGATGTGAGAAAAATGGTATTTTTCCAGTTTTTTAAGCCCGCTTTATTAAGATATGGTTCACATACCATACAGTTCACCCATATGTGCAACCATCACCACAGTCAGTTTTAGAGCACTTTCATCACACCAAAAAAGAAACTCCATGTGTTTTGTCTATCGCTCTGTTACCTCTGTGACCTCCTCCTCATCTCCCTACAGTAGTATACTTTTTGTCTCTATAGATTTCTCTGTCATGGGCATTTTGTATAAATTCAGTTACATAATATGTGGTCTTTTATGACTGGCTTCTTTTCGCTTAGCATAATGATTTCTAGGTTCATCCGTATTGTAGCATGTATCAATACTCATTCCTTTTTATGGCCAAACAATATTTCATTGTGTGGATATGCCACATTTTTTATTTGTTGAGGGACATTTGGATTGCTGCTGCCTTTTTGCTGTTATGAATAACAGGGCTATAAACATTCTTGTACAGATCCTTTGTAGACATGTTTTCATTTCTCTTGGCCATATACATACCTAGGAGTAGGTAGAGTTGCTGGATCATTTGGGTAACTGTATGTTTAATTGTTTGAGGAACTGTCAGAATGTTTTCCCAGAGGCCACACCATTTTACATTGCCACCAGCAGTGTATGAAGGTTTCAGTTTTTCTGTATCCTTTTCAACACTTTTATTATCTGTCATTTAAAAAGTTACCTAAAATTTTTTTAAAAAAATACTGAGATGGGGTCTCTCTTTGTTGCCCAGACTGGTCTCAAGCTCCTGGGCTCAAACAGTCCTCTAGCCTTGGCCTCCCAAGCGCTGGGATTACAGGCATGAGCCACTGCACCAGCCCTGTAATGATTATAGCCATTCTAGTGAGTGTGAAGAGATAGCTCATTGTGGCCTTGATTTGCATTTCCCTGATAACCACCGATGACCATCTTTTCTTGAGTTTGTCATTTGTGTATCTTCCTTGGAGAAATGTCTATCTCCTTTTTCAATTTCTTAGTTGAGATATATCTCTTTTGAATATTGTGTTGTAAGAGTTCTTTATAAATTCTCTGCATAGTTTTTAAAACTCATTCTTCTATGACTGAGATTGGATATTTTCTCTAGTGTTTGTAAGTAGTTTTCTGCCAGTTGTCTGTTTTGCATCTCTTTCTATTTGGTTATGAGTCCTTTTTCCTTTTAATTTGTAAGTGCTCTTGACTTTTTAAAGTCCTTTGTTTGTGGTTTTTTCCTATTTTGAGAATTAAATTTTGACTTTGTTTTTTTGTTGTTGTTGTTTGTTTTGAGATGATGTCTCTCTCCGTCACCAGGCTGGAGTGCAGTGGCGCGATCTTGACGCACTGCAACCTCCACCTCCTGGGTTCAAGCGATTCTGCTTCAGCCTCCCGAGGAGCTGGGACTACAGGTGCTTGTCACCATGCCCAGCTAATTTTTTGTTTTGTTTTGTTTTGTTTTAGTAGAGACAGGGTTTCACCATGTTGGCCAGGATGGTCTCTATCTCCTGACCTCGCGATCCGCCTGCCTCGGCCTCCCTGAGTGCTGGGATTACAGGCGTGAGCCATGGCACCCGGCCTGACTGTTACTTTTAAATTAGAAATGTTTAATTTTTAGATTGTCAGATTGATCAGTCTTTTACTTTGATGACTTCAGAGTTTTGGTTCATGCCTTTCCCACTATTGGATATAAACCATGTCTATTTCTTTCTAATGTTTTACAGTTTTTATTGTATATGTTTAAACCTTATTTTGCCATTCGAAATTTATTTTGGTGTAATGAGTGAAGGGTTAGGATCTGACTTTTCTCCCCTGTATATTTGCCCTTAACTCCATTACCTGAAGCAAACATGAGGGAGAAGACATTTCCAGGTATTGTGGTTAGTCTTTATCTTGATCTGTGTGGTGATTGTAGAGGAATGGTGTTCAATGTGTAAAACTGTACATGAGTGATTTGTTCTCTTAGCCAGATGCAGTGACTCATGCCTGTAATCCCAGAACTTTGGGAGGCTAAAGCAGAGGCGGATTGCGTGAGTTGAGGAATTCCAGACCAGCCTGGGCAACATGGCAAAACTCCATCTCTACTAAAAATGCAAAAAATTAGCCAGTTGTGGTAGCACATACCTGTAGTCCCAGCTGCTTGTGGGGCTGACATGGGAGGATTGGTTGAGCCCGGGAGGTTGAGGCTGCAGTGAGCCAAGATCACACCACTGAACTCCAGCCTGGGTGGCAGAGCAAGACCCCTATCTCAAAAAAACATTGTACTCTTTACAGTATCACATTATATTTCAATTTTTAAAGTGTCCTTTTGTTTAAAGATAACTGTTTTCCACTAAAGTAAAGATTAAGTGTGACATCTGCTTGCATGTCATCAGCCACAGCCTTTCTTCTTTTTTTTTTTTTTTTTTTTTTTGAGACGGAGTTTCACTCATGTTACCCAGGCTGGAGTGCAATGGCGCAATCTCGGCTCACCGCAACCTCCTCCTCCTGGGTTCAGGCAATTCTCCTGCCTCAGCCGCCTGAGTAGCTGGGACTACAGGCACACGCCACCATGCCCAGCTGATTTTTTGTATTTTTAGTAGAGACGGGGTTTCACCATGTTGACCAGGATGGTCTCGATCTCTTGACCTTGTGATCCACCCGCCTTGGCCTCCCAAAGTGCTGGGATTACAGGCTTGAGCCACCGCGCCCGGCGCCTTTCCTCTTTAACTACTGCTCAGTATTCCCCCTCCACAGCAGTGTTGGTGGTCCTAGAGCATTTACTTACTGGGCCAGCTCAAGAGACCCTTTACTTTTGAATTGTTTCATCAAGAAATCTACTCAGAACTGATGTATTTGTGGGAGGAAAAATACTAATGTAGGTCTGTAGCCTGGTGTCTATTTGCAGTGGAAATGTGGCTCTCTGTAGTAGGAGCCTGTTCCATCTCAGGACATCTTTGGATCAACTGTTCTTGATTTTTGAGGGTTTTCTCTCCTGCTTTGAGTTAGGGCAGCTTCTCTAGGAATCCGTCATTTTGTAAATGTGGGCTCCTGCTTAAGTCATTATCCACCTCACTGACCTTCAGTTTGGGTGCATTTGTTATGGACTCTCTTGCTATCCTGATGCTGCCAGTATTTTCCAAACAGAGCTTATCATTTCTTCTGCTAATAACTAGCAAGAACCCAAAGTAAGCCTCTCTTGGCCATGCTGCCCAAAGCTCAGTGGGATCACTCCTTGTCAACCTGACCCTATCCATAACATGATTGTGAAAACTATATCTTAGAGTTTACAAAGTAGATGCAAAGTAAATAACCAAGTGAAGTGAAGCAGACCCAGAGCAAGCTCATCTGCATAAATTAAATGAGTATGGAGACTATGGTGGAGTAGAGAGTGTGTGCCTGCTTTTATGGAGGAAATGACTCTTCCTTTCCCATTATGTGTTTTCCTGAGAGGCTGTAGGAAATCTAGATTTGTAGGTAAAATTCTTCCAGCTTTTCAGGAGGTGTGGGCCAGTTGTAAGCCATTGCTTGGTATTCAGGAACTTTTATTCATTGACATAGTCTGTCTTCCGTTTGAAGTGAATTTATTTGAAATACATTCCATGCACTTGACCATCTTACATCTTGCTTGGATGAATGTGATCTCTCTCTGAAAGAATTTGTGTAATATACTTGAGAGCTTTAAAAATTACTACTCATTTTGCCCTGTTGTTTCTATTTCTGTGACTCTCCTGAAGACATAAGTTAAAATAAAATAAAAATTTGTGTACCAAGATGGTTAGGTGTAACATTATTTGTAATGACTATCTACTGGGAGAAGGTAATGGTTATTCTATTTTGTTGAATTTTGTGAAGTTGTTAATATAATGTTAAAGTTATAATAACATGGGAAAATTTGTGATGAAAAGGGCAGGCTATAAAATTGTATATACTCTATAATAATTACTCCACTTAAGGATGACCTTAGGTCTCTATTACACAAAGCAAAGCAGGCTTACATTCAGGGCAACTTTTGTTGTTGCCCCAAGTCATAAGACTTCTTTCTTTTCCCTCCTACAAGTGGAGTTAACATTAAATATGATGAGGAGAAAGCTGAGCCTAGTGCTACTCTAGAACTGACAATCTGTGGTGTAG